TTTTCTGAGTCCGAAGATGATGAGAGACCTTCCTCAATGAATGGATCATGTGTCGGTGCATCGTAATCACCATCCTCCAGCTCATCTGCCTCGCACATCATTGCAAAGGCATGCAAAGTAATGCAGGCCACAGTCCAGTATGTGGCAATCTGGTGAGTTGCTTCATCACATATTTTGATATGAATACCTTTGAGTGAGTGAAAACGCCCCTTCAAGTAGCCAATGGCATGTTCTGATCGGATCTGAACCATGGAAACATGGTTGTTAAACACCTGATTATCAGATTCCTCCCATTCTGGCATCTTATAAGGTGCAACCACCCAAGTTTGTATCTGGAGCTTTAGAGTTAGTCTACTCAGGCTTCAGCGAATAAAAGCTCTTACTGGGTATGCAGAATCTGCCCAAATAAATTCCCCATCTTCGAGTATGTCATCATGGTTCTGAGCAATGAATGTCTCTTGCCAAGCGCTCACATTGTGAGTGCTCCCAGTATGCCCATAGCTAAAATCAATAATTCGGAGATTTGGGAGTGAGACGATCTATTAAAATCATCAGCTCAAATATACCGAGTCACAGATAAAATATAAATATAAATACTTGGACATTCAATGAATAATTTGACTTTCGGTCAAAGTAGCTTTCTCCATACCAATGGGGTTGGTCATAAAGAGGAATGAGTGTGCCATCAACTAGGCACCACCCATTCCTCCATGCATGACAGGAGTGAGCTTCAACCCAGGACTTTGCAAGTTCTTTTTCATCTATGGTGGGAAATTGAACAGCAGATTCATGGAAAGATGGGCGAAGGACAGCTGTCATGACTCTGCGGGTGATGAGGTGGACAGTTCCCTTGCCAAGCCCAGCCTAATCTGCGACTGCCTGCATGCACCTGTGACTCCCACATAAGCCCACTAATAAGAGGTGATAGACCCAGGCCTCCGCACCACCAAGCCGAGGGGGTTGCAGTCTTTCCAGGCTAGGTTCAATAGTGGTGCAATACCTCTGCTCCAGACTTGTGAGAAAATCACTGACATAGTAAGCGCATGACAGCTCGGCAACATCCGCCATATCTATTAATAATGATACCGCCTGTCAGCAACAATAGCTTGGGTATCAAGCTCGCTGTGCCCGACAATGAGCAGCACGTTCTCACTCTTTTCTTGGCTGTTTGATGGCGCGTTTTTTTTGATCAATTTGCAGTAGCTACTAGACTAGTAAATGATGGATTGGGTAGTCAATATACCCTACATACATGCGCTATTATACATAATGACCTTGCTCTGTAGTACCTATCAGTCTGTAGTGATGCGCAGCACCTTGTCAAATACTTCTAATGCCTCCTCCATATTGCTGACCTCCTCCTTCTCTTCATAATCTTCCTCGGCCTCCGGAGCAACAATAGACTGGCTGATGGCTGATGGCTGGTTAGCGGAGAGGCACTACTAGAGAGAGACTGAACGAGGCATGCGGGGATGGTAACACAGGGTGTACTGGTGCTGTCTCCGGTGTTGCTGAAGGTACAAACACCAGGAGAGATAGTCCCCGAGAATTATGGGAGGTTGGCTATGTCCTGCAGACGCTGAAGATGGTGTGAGTTGAACCGACTGCGAACTTGGCGCCAGAGATTGATCTGGTGTGCAAGGACTAGATGCGAAGCTTCTGCCTGACGTTGACACTCACGGAGGTAATGCTCCTCATCACGCAAGTATGTAGCTAGACGTCGCACTTCAATGTTCAGCTGCGTGATTTCTTCTCTTGTACGGCACGTCTTGAAATATAAGTTGGTTGCTTGACGTACTGATGGCATTGCCCAGGGACGGTGTGAGACATCATCACGCGAGTCATGAAGAAGGTCGAAGTTGGCAAGAAAGGCATACTCGACTACCTCCTCCCATTTGAGCATTCGGTGAGGGGGGGACAATGCACGTGCTGCTATATTGAACCTGTCGAGGGCAGTCTTGATGGCAGCAGAGCATGCTTGCAAAGCCTTTGCGATATGCTTTCGCAATTTATATCCTATAGATAGAATGTTGTCAGCTGAGTAGAATACATAGTCGAAAGAAATGCTTACCGGTCCCAGACCTGTTCATCTTTGTCAGTTCAAATATGCACGCAACGACCAGACCTTCCAACATGTCGAGTGCGTGTTGGTACTTTTGATTGGTGACTAGACGCCCTGTGTTTTGCCAGTCCGGATCCTCTGGTGTCCAGAGCAAGTGATGCTGAGTTTACATTCGAGTTCTTGCACAAGTCATAGGTCCTTCTCATAGTTCTCTAGGGCATGCCGTCGAGCTGTTTCGATTCGTCTTGTAGCACTTTCGTCGGATGCAAGGCTTGCGGGTGTGGCCACAGCCCATACTGAGCTTGTAGCATCAAGATCCTCCCTGTACATGATCAAATGTCAGATACCTCACATAGACAGACAAAATACTCACTTGCTTGCAACTAGATTGACAAGCTTTTGCCAATACTCCATTTGCAACGTCTCATGCTCGGGTTTGGGGCGGAGACTCTATAAGTAAATCTTCTCCTCCGTCAGCCAGTCCTCGAAGATGGACTCATGAGTGATATTGAGATTGTGCATTAATTTTGGGAGTGTGATGCGACTGTCGGCTATAATGTTGAGAGCTTGTTTGTAGTTGTTGTACAAAAAATCGGCTGCAAATCAAGACTTTAGAAAAGGTACTGATGCAAACATAGTGAATGTACATAGATTTGCATATACTTCATAATCATCGTTGTACTCGAAGTAGCTTGTGATAGCCTGCTGACGGTGGAAAATACTCGAGTAACACGTCGTAGGTGCCAAAGAATTCGATTTTGAGAATGTGCGCTCGCACATTTCCAAGTCTTCAAGTCCCAAGCCTGGAACATATCTTGCAAGATGATCGAGCTGACACAGTCAGCGATGAGCATGCCTGTGGAATGCGCCAATGAGGGATGTATAATGGAGGGAACGCGCGTGGGGACCTAAAGGACTGTTATTCAGTGTTGTCTTGAACTGACACCCAATGTCATATCCACCGCCAAGGCCGTCACCAAAGACGTCCATCAACTTCGCAATGACAGCTAGTGGGTATTTTGCACTGTGTGATATAGGTATGAATGTTAGTGGACAACATGAAAATAGCTCAGACGTACAACTCCCCACTCTGAACCATATCAATAATTAAGAGGCTAAATCCATGTCGGCACACCGCAGTGAAGATCCCTGTTTCATCATATATCCCCCATGCCCTCTTCGTCTTCTCCTCGTCCATGTTGTTCCACTGTTCCGTGCAAGGGTTTCCCAACGAGTCTGAATCAAGCGTAACCTGCAAATGAGTCAAAAAAAACCTGTTGTTAAATGAAATAGTAGACGTACCTCTGAGTCCTCAATGCCTACTTTGCTCCACTGATTAACATAGTCACACGAGAGATAATGATCCCCTCGGACGTGCTGCGTGGTGGGAAGTTCAGATGACTCCCCGCTATCGTTCTCATCTATGCCAAGAGTTCGACGAAGGATATGCTTGAGGGAGTCGTTGCCATCCATAGTGAATAGCAGAGTGAATATGAGAGGTACCTCGTCCTTGAGAGTATAGGTACACAGGGGACAGGCGTGTTTGAGCCGCCAATCCAGAGAATCCCGGTTGAGGGCCTCAGCTACCAGAGAATCTACAGAACTGCGAATTAGCATGTAAACGTCGAAGGTGATTGTGAGTTGGCGTGAAAGGTAGCGATGATACTTGACCTTGAAAGTTTTATTCATAAGCATGATAATAAACTGCAAAATTGAGTAACTTACCCCATGTAGATTGCAAAGTGTCTTGCTGAATGCCTGCATGGAAAAGTGAGGGCTTCGAAAATGAGCAATACGATATAGCTTGAGTGCATCAATGGTGATGACAACAGATGGTGAAATGGGTGAACATGGGATCACGCCGTGATGGACAAGGGCAGATGCAATATATGTGTCTTTTGCGCTGATTGTGAGAGCTGTGTTCTTAGCGTCTATTATGTAGTATGCCGTCAGGGAACAATCTCACAGCGTGAGAGGGCACAACTCACAGAATACGTCAATGACTTTACCTGTCCAGAGATCTGAGTTAGCCTCCTCCAGCACACACCTTTGATCAAAGAAGCCCTTTTTACCACTTAGTTCACAGTCCAGACTCTACTCCAGAAATGCGCTTGTGATAGCTGGCAGCTGGATATTGAATGCGTCCACACATCGCTGTATTCGATCACGCCACGTGCAATGGTCGATCCGTCATGTGTTGCTTCTTGATGTAATGCTGTTGCCCCATCCCAGGTAAGAGGACTTGAAGTTGACACAAGTTTAGATAGACTTATGGTTTCCAGAAATCTCCCACGATCTCACGAGCGAGGTCCTCGACAACTCCTATGTCGATGTGTCGTTCTCGCAAGATCTCGTTGACATCAGTCGACATGTCTCCGGCCTCGAACATGACATCATCTGTGTTATCTTGGCGCTCAATCAAGGCTTCTAAGGCCTCGCGTTGTTCCGTGGTCAACACTAATAATAGGTAAAGTCAATAACAATTCTATAAAGGTATTAGCATGTGATGCACCTTGCAGACGTTCTTTTCTCCAGACCTGTATGCTCGTGGCTCACTGAGACAGAGCCCTAGGCCCATACACTGTGTTAGTGGCCACACGGTAACCACTCTGATCATGCTTCGAGCTTAACTCACGAACCTTTCGACTAGACAGTCCTATTCGATTGCGAGCTTTCGACATGGCCATGATATTGAGCGGATGCGGGAATTTTTTCAATCAACATCGAGATGTATTCAGGTGAGCTTATGGATGCACGTGACATTAAGTTTACTGACCTCTGAGCTTGTTCTCTGTCAGCGTGAAAATGAGCTCCAGAAAATCGACATCATCCCGAATGTCAACGACAAGTATGAGGAAAAGTGGGGGTCTAGAGGACTTCATGCAGGCCATGAAGATATCAGGTAAGCTTCAATATTTGTTTGTTTCGATCCTCACTAATGAAATCAGACGTCAGTTTCGACTCTGTCACATATACCAAGAAGACCATTGAGGAGTCCGTCACTTTCAAGATCAACGACCAGCCCCCACCATCCACACCACCAACGTCTACCATCACTCCTGCTGATTCTTTCCAGCCCTCCGAATCACCTTCTGGATCCCCTCTGACACACTCACCCGCTGATTCAACCCCACCCATCGATACAGTGCCATATGACTCGTACATCCCCCATCCAGATGAGCTTCATCCTCCAAGCGGAGTGAAAATCCATGGATATTATGTAGTTACCATAGGGCAAGAGGTTGGCATCTTCTTCAACTGGTACGTTCTTCTCATTCGATTATCTACGTTTTTAACTCAGCAACCTCAGGCTTGATGCAAAGGCTCGTGTTGATGGCATCAAGGGTGCCGCTCACATGCATTGTGAACACTGGCCTGATGCACTGGCCTTGTACACTTAGCACTACTGTCAGGGTGCTGTACATGCAGTACCTACAGTTGGAGGACCTTTCTGCTCTTCCGGTCCCTCCCAAATGCCATCTAGTCCAACACTTACCACATCATCCTCCGGCTCTGATGAGCTCTGGTCTTATTTTGATGATCCGTCCCAAGAACTGAGCAACAGCTAGATTTAGTGTACCTAACTACTATAACAATGTATCTAGCATGCCAAATTGTATTCTCAAGGAGGGCTTCTTCAGTTTCATGCAGAGTGATGAGTTCAGTTTGAATGAAATGATAGGATACGTGTAATAAAGTAATTGTGCTCACATTACAGGACAGAATCCGATATTTTGTGTGGTGCACATTTCGTATGTGGCACTACCAAGAATTTGGAACTGGAGGCAACTTGAATGAGTCATGTAAATTGGCCGTTGAACACGAATATGCAGTAAGCTCACTACACAATTCATTTTCCTGCCTCGGATGTAACTAACAGTATCGGAGGACGCAATCCTAGCTATTCTATCATAATTTTAGACTATAATTCTGTCTCATAGTTGAATCCGAGAGTGTTATGTGGTGATAGCAAACATGTTCACCATGATGTTTGCCATGTTTGCCATGTATATGTCCACTCTCAATAGATCTCATCACGCATGTGAATTGTGCACTGAACATTTTCAAAAGCCAAATGAATTGTCTTCAATATGTTCATAGCGTGTGTCAAATAAATTGTATATTAAGCATGTTCATAGTATTGTGCAGAAGATATCCTAGATAATGGAATAGCTGGAGTGTACTCGTCAAGTTTGACCTCAAAAAACTTGACCTCTGACAACACCATCAAAACCTGATCATACATTCGCATACATCTATCCCTCACCTGTTTACCATTACTGCACGGACCATACGCAATGCGCTTTAAGTCACTGAGTAGAGCTCGTCCGAGCGTGGTGTGTTCCTCACATTGGCTAAAAAAATGGTTGACCGCACAGTTGCTCCGGTCTTGGGCCAGCCAAAGTTTTTCATTGAAAACTTTCTCCCAGATATTGGCAGGGCCCCAATCATACTGCCACTCGCAGATTGAGACTTGCAGTTCGTGGATGGTCAGGGTTTTGATGTCGGTGGTGCGCAGAAGATATGTAGTGTCATCGTCTGACAAAGGATCCTGTTGTTCATCTAGATATAATGAGATTAATAACATAGAGGCAAGCACTACCTTACCTCCTGACGGCTGTGTGATCTGGGTGGCCTTCCTGCTGAAACGAGTGTCAGCTTTGCAGTCACTCATAACCAAACGAACATACGCAGTGCGAATCCTGTTGAATGATGCAGTCAGAGATGAGAAGTAAAACATATTGAAGAAAAGACTGACTTTGCCATACAAATATGCGCCTTCTCATTTTGAGTTGAACGAACACTGAAAGAGATAAAAAGATAAGCAAAACTGAATGGTGAGAGCAAAGATGTCAATGCTCAGTACTTATGCAGAATCGGACATCCATCGTTCCGTGGCTGCCCATTGTTGCATCCTTTTGTCCATTCCCCCGAGATTGCTGTTGAAAGTGTTGGTCAGCAAGTTAAAGATTATGTAGCTGTCAGTAGTTACTTACCTTATATGCCACCTGCTATCAAGAGTTCATGTGCGTCAATTAATTGGGAAAGGCATGTCATGGTGATGTACTTACTAGCGTTTGTCAAAGAAATCGTGTCTTGGAAATTTCGGATCAAAGTCAGTCGAGAATCGTGTCTCGGAAAGTTCTGATTGAGGTCAGTCCAGACTCGGAAGCAAAAGTGCTCATGGTACTTTGTTGTTTCGTCTCCCCTGCAGTCAACAGCTCGAATATGTGCGCACTTTTATGCTGCACAGAGGCCTCTGCGACTGTAAGCAAGCATTTGGCAACCGGAAAACTCAAGTAAGTACCTCCTTAAAGTCATACTTTCTAACTCTCCTTGTTAGGTGGTTCTCCAGGCTCTCAGTGTTGGAGGCTTGGGGCAACCCTTCTTGAATCCACGTTCTGACTTGAATTTTTAGGTGTCACCATTGCGCTTGGACTTTGCATTGCCGGTGTTGTCCTCACATTTGGACTTTGCATTGTCGGTGTCTCCTCGATTTTGGACTTTGCATTGTCGGTGTCGGCTGTGGGTTTACCCCATGTCTTCTCCAATTTGTGTTTGGACTTTGCATTGTCAGTGTTAACTGTGAGTTCTTCAATTTGGGCTTTGCATTGTCGGTGTTGACTGTGAATTTTTCTTCAGGTGCTGGCCATACCACCCTACCATAGGATGCCAACGACTGAGCGCGCACCTGGGAGAAGGCTGAGCAGCTCAATTGCAGATTACCCCGTAAGTACTATGTATTATTATGTTAGAAATAGGGGCTTGTAATTGATCACTGCGCGGTAGCATGTGATCTTGGAGCGGATGACACTTACTAAGAGAATGGTAAGAAAATATCAGGAAATAAATTAGGTCTGAAATGTAGACCAGGATGCATGACATGCATTGTTTGTTGATCAGCGTGACGCGTGTGGTTTTCTCTACACTACCGCAATTGTGTCACGCTGCAGGATTCACCAGACACTATCACATCAAGATACACAATGTATAGACAGCCCTGCAGCAGTGACTCCATGGATCCAGACGCACTCATTTTGTCTTCAGTATGCAAATTTCTTCCTTGATGTTTCCACTCTCACATCACTCCTTTTTTGAAGATATTGAGCTGTCAATGTACCCTTCACGAATTCAAATGAAAGCCCAATTGTGCCGCCATTTCATAGAATGATACATTTCCCACCTGGAATGAGCACCAGGGGCGTATTTCCCTGGGATACTGACTCTTCCAGCCGTTTCGGAGATACCACCGACTTCGAAACATTTTCCTTCGACCAATCCTTGCACAACGACGAAGATACTGCCGAGTCCGGGACATTCTCAATTGTTCCACATCTACTTTCTCTGGATGATGAATCACACACCCCTGCAAGCAACATCCCGCGTTTACCTTCTCCGGATGACGACTCTAACTCTCACAACTCACTGGAGGCTCGCCTTAATGACAAAGGCGATAATTCATGCTGGTCAGATGCAATCCTGGCCAGCAGTTATACCCACACGAGCCTGTTGAACTTCCACACTCACTACAAGAAATTGCGAGCACCTCAACTCATGAACGCGCTTGTTCATGCCAAGGCAAAGGAACTTAATGCAGGTTTGTTTCTGTTACGTTCATTCCAGTTTTTTTGTATTCTCACTGTCACTTTATCTCACAGACCTACCAACCGGAAGCAAGTACACCATGAAGGAAGTCCGCAAACTTGTCGAAGAAGACCCAACGTTGCACCCACATGCATTGTCATGCGAGGAGAAAAGTCTTTATAGCTGAGCTTATGGAACACAGGGCGCTCAAAACGAGCAGCTCGTGTGCAAACAACATTGCGGCCGCATGAGATGTAGTAGCAACTACAGAGAAAATTAAGCAGGAGGTAGGTGTGTCATTTGTCCAGTGATGTCCATGCTCACTCACGACTCCCAGCTCGATGGATTGCGCGATCGCTGTGGGACGTACGCAACATTCGTGACTGCAGGCGGGCATGTGAACGACCAGACACCCGCCACGTGGTATACAACTGACAATGCTTCGGACTTTTGGGAAAATGCACTGAATCATGGTAGTCATGCAAGCTGTGTGCTTGTCTTGTCTTTGTCAGGCATCCTTTCACATCTATCCCTTCATTATTCCCTGTGCGTCGCTTGATATTAGGTTATTAGGTGTGGTTGGCACACAGCACTTTACTCAAGGTAGTGTCAGAATGTGCAGCTCTTTGCGCATATTGGGGTCAGTAACCAAAATATCCTGCTCCCTGTCAGGGAGATCAAACATGTGGCAAGTAGTCAGCTTAAAGAACAGGCAGCCAAGAAGAATCTTGAAGCTCGCACAAGGTATGACTTGTACTTGGAAGTACAGTGGTCTCCCTCCAAAATCAAGTGGTACATTCTCGATGATGCTGAGTGTTATGTCCTTGTTGGTATTTACTGATTCCATGTTTAAGCGATGGTCTGACTGCAAACCAACACCAAGCAATTTCCATACAGCTGCCGGCATCACAACAACTTCAATGCCTTGATCTAGGACACAAGTGACTGCCTGCCCTTCGACCATGGTTGCATGAATGCAGCACAATGGTGCGAAATGGTCTGCTACAACTCAGCCATGCTTTGCAAGTGCTTGGCATCATAGTTGCACATCCATTCATCAGAAACTGGGTGTCCTGTTAGCTCATTGACCAATACTGTACCGACTGTGACATGTTTGGTGGTGGTGAGGTCGCAGAATTACTTGCAGATGTTGGGTGATATTGCGAATAGTTCCCTTGTTGAAATGCTTATACTAGTTATCCAGTAGGTGCTCGAGGATGCACTTATCAGCATCCTTTCCTCTAGGCCATGTGAGTACTAATTAATATGATGCTATTTTTGCCAAAGTTGATGTCATTGGTGTTGTCAAATCTGCAGGGTCAGTGTGCATTAAACCAGGTGAGGATGAAGATGAAGTTGCAGGAGTGGTGGTTGCCTTGCGCATTCCTGTGTTGATGATATGGCTGCCGCTGGTACCGTTATCGCTTTCATGACTTCTGGCACCTTCCTTTTACTAGACAAAGCTAGAACAGCAGGAGAAGACAATCTACTGACATTACATAATTAAATGCAACATAGGTTGCAAAGACATTAGTACTGACCTCCAGAATTACTTTGAAGTCCTGTAGGAAATGCCATTCCATTGACTCAATTTTTTATCATATATAGAGTGTTGATTTGTGGACTCAAAGAATAAATCAACTGCCTAGGCAGCAATCAAGGCAAACAACTACTGATGTCTCCTCTTCCCTGGCAATCTAGTAGGCAGTGAGTGCCATGAACGGGCAAAGTTTCTGATCCGATCAGAGGTCAGATGTAAAATAGCTACTTAATATTATTGTGCATTGACTTTGAACTTCCAGCTGATTCTAATATTATGTTCATGGTGATATCAAACCACAGGATGTCTTGATGGGTCTTGGCTATCTGAGGCACACTGCATTCATTATCAATTTTTGTATTGTGAAGGAATACTGGAACACCACAACCAGAGTCCATATCCCATTTTGTTAAAACCAACATCTCTATACTCGAGCGCAAAGTCAACACCATCATTGAAGTCTTATGCGATGGAGTGAGTATCAGCATTATGGCCAGCCTACTGGATGATGCATGGGGACCTTTCACAAACATGCTCCTCCACTTTTGCTGTATCATGATCTGGATTTCAAAACTTAATTGATCAGGTCATGAACCTTGGGAATGAAGGTAAGCTTTAACTCACTTGACCTATCAATGTTGATTAATTATTGATGGAAGACAGATGAAGCAAACCACTCACCTGACAACAGTACTAGGTAGGAGTCCTCACATTTTACAGGCAACATCTATCCACTCATCTGCACACTCTACTGGATCATCACTGTATTGCGATCTGGTTTCTGGACTTGATTGATCAGCCAAGGATGCAGATAAGCTTTACTTCACTCAATATATCCAAGTTCCAACTGATTCTGAGATTTAGTGCCTATCAGAACATATATCTTATGGTATGCCTATCACTCTATAGGTGGTGTGCATTGGGGAAACCCTATTTCACATGTTGTACTGCCTATGACCACCCTGGTGAAGAAGATCTCATGGTATGTACCCTGGGCATATGTTCAATGGTCCCCCTTGTATTGTATCACAACTAATGATAGTGTGTTCATAAATTAGACCCATTACTTACATAGACTTGACTATAGTCCAGAGTTCATAATTCTAAATGCTTCGTGCATTGACTTTGAACTCTCAGGTACAGTACATTAGAATAGCTACTTAATATTATTGTGCATTGATTTTGAACCCTCAGCTTATTCTAATAGGTGGGGGAGCAACAATGTGGGCAACAGCAGGGGATGATGAGAGGTGCAGCAGCAGGAGTAGGCATGGTGGCAATCTGACTTTTGTTCTGGGGAAACAACAGGGCATACCTTTCATCAAGGTCAGCTCGTTCTGAAATGATTGTCTTCTTAGTAGTGGGATTATAGAACTTCCAGCCCTTGTAGCCCTGAGAATACCCAATAAATGCACATGTTTTCATATGAGATCCCAGTCCTGCTCTCTTGTCCTTCTGCACATGCACATAGGCTGTGCAACCCCAAACTCAAAGATGGGAGATGTCTGGCTTCCTTCCATGCCACAATTCATAGGGAGTAGCGCTTTTGACAGCATTAGTAGGGCATCTGTTCCACACATGGACTAGGGCAGACAGAGCCTCTCCCCGAAAGTCTTGGGCAGTCCAGACTCGTCCAGCATGGTGGTGAGGCGCTCCGATAGCAGTCTATTAGCTATCTCAGCAGCTCCATTCTGCTGGGGTCGCGCTCTAACAGTCTGTTGGCGCTCTATGCCACAAGATGCTGTGAACTGCAAAATGTGTTGCTCATGTACTCCCCTCCCTTGTTGTCTCTTAGAATTTTAATTTTTTGCTCTGACTGGTTCTCAGATATGCCTTGAATGATTTAAACACTTCAAAAACATCAGACTTTGCTTTGATTGGAGTGACCTCACGATACCAGTCATACAAGATATAGAAGATCAACACATGATTGTCGGTGAATATGCTAGTGATTTTCAATGGTGACACCCACTGATATGAGACATTGGATATGACTGGCCCATAAGCTGGAACATCATTGTCACATTCAAAGATATCTCTCTCCCTGGCCCACTCTGCCAGTGCCAATGTGTCCTTAAGTCTTTGGTAATGGGGTATTTCCCAGGGGTTGATGATAGTGATGGAGACAAGATCCTTGCATCTTTCCTTATACCGTTGGATCTTTGTCGCCAAATTTTCATTGGTCTGTGTGAAGGTAACCTCAAAGATCCAGAACAGCTTTGCATCACTACTGGAGTCTTAGAATTCTAAAAACATGTCAGGATCTCCAATAACCTGTCCCTGAACCTTGATTGTGGTGAAGAATCACACAAGGCACTTCAGACACTATAGCATATTTATTGAGGGGCATCTAGTTGGTGGCACCATTGATGCCCTTGCACAAGCGGTATCTAGAAACTATTGTGAGTGCAGGAAGGCAGTTTGGCTAGGAGTACACTGTGGTATATCAAGGAAAGGATATTGGTCAGTAGCGATCAAATATTTCACTGTGTGAAGTTCCCATCTGTCCTCGCCCAGGATGATTATTGTTGATATACCTTCACCATGTGGCTCATCCTACTCACACTCCGTCACTTGAGGGCAACTGTGATGTATCTATGGCTCCATTGGATTCTTGGAACAATGACATTCCTGGATTCCAAGTAGCTTCTCTCTCAACTGGTTTTACATCTAGCTCCTTGAATCTCTTTGCACACAGAACATTAAAATTAATCTAAGGTTTAAACCACTTGAACAACTTCATGACTGACTTGGATTCTTGAAATGATGACATTCCCAGACTCCTAAGCAGCTTCTTTCTAGGCTTGCTTTTGGCTTCTCATGTCACCTAGTTAATTACATGCACAGTAGACCAGGTTTCCAACCTTGTATGAGAGGCTTGGCTTTCTCTCTTAGCTGGACTGTTCAATTGAAGCGCCTCAATGTCAACCCATCGAAACCATCCCTAATTCCGCACCACACAGATGGGCACAGACTACCATTAGGCCAGGTTTCAGGATGCAGATTCTGTCACACTGATATCCTAGACCTTTGTGTTGTTTTGATGATTTTGAAGTTATCCCCCTTCTGTGTCTCCGCTCAGTCATTTTTAGCTTGTGTTCTTTCCTATCATGGCTACCAGTTCTCCTCATTGCATGCTGTTGGCGATGCTATCACTTCAACTATCTGAATGTTCAAAAAGAAGCGAGAAATCATTAAGGACTGGTATGAGTCCAGATTTACAGCATAGAGGAGCATGTGCTATGGATAGATCCAGAAATTCAAATTCCCCAAAAATCTGAGTTTTGTTGCAATTGGAAGAGTCCAGAGAGTCAACAGAATCACCCTTAATCACAATCTGTGATCCCAAGTCTTTGGATCCATACAATGGTACTTATGCAATATTCTAGAGGCTGCTGAACAAACAACATAGTAAGTTCTAAGTAGTGTCTTTAAAGCTCATTTAAGATGGCTAACTACTACACCAGCCAGCTTGTCATCTGAAAAGTCATCAGCATTCCATTATGTTCTTTCTATCTAATGTTTTCCTTTGCTTTCAGAAGCTACTAGGTTGTTGGATGATCATCCCAACAACTCTGGCTCTTCCTATCTTGCAACCTCTCTCAGGCTGTGGTCTCCCACCTACCAGTGAATGCAGCATGGTGGGT